ACCATGCTCTGAAGAGTCAGCATGCCTGTGGACTTTTCCATGCCAGTTGGCCTTTGTTCCGATTAAATGTTCTGGCCAAGTTTAGGGTACAAGTGGAGCAAGAGAGTATATCAGAACAGCATGCTGAGACCTACCCCCAAGACCAGATTTCTGTCTTAGGTACTTCAGCAAGTTCTGTGGCTCTGGATCAAGTTGGATTGTGCTTTTGAGCTTAGCAGAGATGTTGCTACATCTCTGAGCGTGTTTTGAGAACCTGACCACATGGTGCAAGCAGAAGTGATGGGGTGTGGGGAGGATGGGGGAGTGTTACAGAAGTCTTTACTGTGGTGTCTGTTTTGATAGATACTCTAGAAACTAAACATACCAGTGAGCTGACAGTCAGATCTGCTGAACATTTGCTTCTAGGACGAACTTCAGCTGAGCAATATTAGCGTAGAGGTAGCCTGATTGGGGTAACAAAATTTAGTGGACTTCAGGACCGAGGGGGTCTGTCCCATCCCAGTCTGGTGGAAGAGAGGCTGCTTGCAGGACACATGCATATGTCTGCTCACTCACCTTACAAGCCCACTTACACTCACTGATCTCTTAAATATTAGCATTCACCCTAAGTCCAGAGACCCAGGCACCAGCTCTGACTCTGAGTTTTCCAAGGTGCTGGTTTATTCCTATTGCTCAGTCTGAAGTGTGCCAGTGGTTCATACATGCATGTAATGTAGGTCCCTCATATAGCTGGTTTGTGCAGGATCTTGTGCCCAGACTGGACGTCTGCAGTTGTTGGCACTGAGGCCCTTGGGCCCATCAGACGTCCCAAGTTAGCTTTGTATCCTTAACCCAAACCCTGTTATCTTCATGTTACATCTCCGGATCCCACCGTTGCTAACCCCAGGCCTTCAAAAACCCACCCAACATGAACCCATCCAGGGAGTCAGGAGTGGCCACTGAGATTCCCTCACCAAAAATCCTTTTCATCCTAGCCCTGAGAGAGTTGCTAGCAAAAAAATTGCTAGTAGAAATGTACAGAGAGACAATTCAAAAGTAACTGACTTTCAATCAAGAGCAATGTAAGTTAAAAGTGTTTGAAAAAGAAAAAGCAGTTATAGGGTTCAGTGCAGATTTAGGAATAAGATAGGGACAATGAGGATAGAAAACATGGATTGAGAGAAGTTCAGGATAAGGACTAGGGGCCAGCATGCAGGTGAGTAGACTCCAGGGAGACAAGAGTCTGTAAGGAAGACCAGAAACAAGCTTGGCTGATAATGAGCATGTCTGTGTTGAGTTAAGACTTTGGACATTTGGGGAAATGAGTAAGAAAGCCAAAAGGAAACCCATGAACCTTTCGTCAGGTTTCTTGTGGCTGGTCTGGATGTGATAATAATTTGCAATAGTAACTTCCCCTTAACTGTCACATGGTGATGCTCCCCACGGTCTGTTCACATTGCTGCAGCCTGTTCTGAGGCTGACTTCAGTGCATACTGTAGCTGAAGAAACATATCAGAGTTTTCTGGAAGCATCCTCACCATCTCTCTGGCTGCCACACTTCTCAGGCATTTTAAAGGTTTTACAGAATCAGAGAATTACAGAATTGCTAGAGTTGAAAGGGACCTGTAGAGATCATCTAGTCCAACTCTCCCACTGAAGTAGGATCACTTAGAGCAATTTACACAGGACTCATGGGATCTTCATAAGCATGAGAAGCACGGGGGTTTGTTTGGTTTTTCATTTATTTGGTTTGTTTTGTGGACTGGAATGCTAATGAGAGACAACTCTGGTCCATGTCTACAAAAATAGAAACCCCTTTCTCTCAGATCCCATCCCATTTCAGCTAATTTTCTTGAAAATTATTATTTTGGTCTGCTAGCCAATCTGTGCCTTGGAGCATAAAATAATAACTATCGTGTGAAGAGACTACTTGGCAAGCCTGAGTCTCCCCAGTCATCCAGATTAGTCTGGAAGGGCACTTGCATGAGTGAATGAGGCTCTGCTCACCTAATGTGCTGCCAGATGGATGTGCAGAGAAGCAGCCATCAAGCCTGGGACAATTGCTTCACAAGTAAGAGGCAGTGGTCCAGGGGACCAGGGGTGGACTTGCTGAAAGCAGTTCTGAGGAGAAGGATCTGAGAGTCTTGGTAGGTAGTAAATTATCCATGAGCCAGCAATGTGCCCTTGTGGCCAAGAAGGCCACAAGAAGCCTGGCGAGAATCCTGGGGTGCCTGAGGAGGAGTGTGGCCAGGAGGTTGGGGGAGGCCATTCCCCCTCTCTGCTCTGCCCTGGTGAGGCCACATCTGGAGAACTGGGTCTAGTTCTGGGCTCCCCAGTTCAAGAGAGACAGGGAACTGCTGGAGTAGAGTCCAGGGAGGGCCACAAGGATGGCTGGGGGATTGGAGAATCTCCCTGGTGAGGAAAGGCTGAGAGAGCTGGGACTGTTCAGCCTGGAGAAGAGAAGGCTGAGGACAGACCTTATCAGTGCCTACAAGTATCTCAGGGTGGGTGCAGGAGGATGGAGCCAGACTCTGCTCAGCAGTGCCCAGGGACAGGACGAGGGGCAACAGGCACAGGCTGGAATGTGGGAAATGCCACTGAAATATGAGGGGAAACTTCTTTACTCTGAGGGTGACAGAGGGACAGGCTGCCCAGGGAGGGTGTGGAGCCCCCTTCTCTGGAGATATTCAAACCCCCCTGGATGCAGCCTGAGTGATGTGCTCCAGGGGATCCTGCTTTAGAGGGGAGTCGGGCTGGATGGTCTCTAGAGCTGCCTTCCAGCTCTGACAGTTCTGTGATTCTGCAAACAAACAACTAAAGGCATTTTGCTCAGCTGACTTAGGATAAGTGTTTGTGGCCCTTTATGTCAACTCTGGACTTTAATGTCAATTGGAATTCTATGACTAAGAAACTTACTATGTACATTTAATACATTAGCTTCTTACTTCTCTTCACATGTGCCTCAGTGCTGCTGTTCAGGAATGACACTGCAAGAGCTAGTCCTCTGTCACTGTGTATGCAAATCATAACCAATGTAAGAACTGGAAGTTCCGAACTACATCCCGGCCAGGAGGCTTCAGTTTTACTGTAGGTGGATGGTTGATTGGAAATAAAAGCAAACATACTAGAGTAGATGATTCAGTTTCCAATTTATTCACTGACAAGCTTATCCTGTCAGGTATGAGACACTCACTTATGGAGTCTCACAGGGATCAAGGATCCCTTTAGCACTTTTTAGGATCAAACCTGAATTGCTGTGTTCACTGAGAGTCGAGTGCCAGCAACCTGTGCACAGCACGTATCCTTGATGTTCTTCATCAAACATCTACAGCTCCAACAGCACATGGATGACAAATGGCAGACCCATGCTCTGCTTCAATGAGTTAGGACCCGTGTTCCTGAAATTTGCAGCTGTCCTTTTGTGGTGAAGGTACACACAAGCAATTTATATTCCACAGCTAAGGAATATTTTTTGATTCCTTGCCGATTCTGAGCTCTCACATAAAAACATCTGCTAATAACATTTTTTATAATCTCCATTTGGCAAGGTGACTCTATCCCATCCTGGCAGACAATGACCAGGCCTCAGTTATTCATGTCTTCCTCACCTCCTGGCTGGGCTGGGAAATGTGATATGTTTTGGGCACAAAGCCTTTAGCACTTAAGAAATTCCAAGTACACCAGAACTCTGCAGTGCATCCCATCAACAACACATGCTGGTGTGAAGACATAAAAACATTTCTAATGTTTTCTATTCAAGTTACATGCAGGATAAAAGGCTTTTGCCTTTGTTTTCAAAGAATTTTGTGGCTTGGACCCAAAACATTTAAAAGATTGCCTGTGTTTCTGGGAGGGAAACCACAATTAATGCAATGAAGCCTTCCACAATAACAGGACAGTTCATCCGGACAGAAGAGACCACACTCTCTCAGAGGCTAACGTGAGATTCTGGAGTGAATTCCCCCAGGAACCACAGATCATCACAAGCCTTCACCAACTTCTACTCCCACTGCAAAGCACATTCTTTGGGGTTTGTCTCTTCTGGTATAAATACACAGCAACAATAAAAAAGGACACTTGTTCTGCAAAGGAGAGAAAGAGAACAAACACCACCTGACAGATGTTGGTTGTGTCCTTTGGAAGGCACTCAGACACATGGATGACACCGAGATACAGGAACTTAGTATAAAAGAGGTAGAATATGGTGTAAATTTACATGAATTCATGTAGCAACTGGCACCTGTCCCCCAGAAAGTCATGTTAGGTTGCCAAGCTGAGCTCATGCAGATCACAGAACAGCTGTAAATCCTAAGTGACTTTAGTAAAGAAACAAGGAGTTCCACTAAAAGCATTATTTAAGGTTGATTCTCTGTTGTTGCAAAGGTATGTGCTATGGCTTCAGTCTTTGTCCCAGGCTAGATACTCAAGGCATCTCTGACCTCTGCCCAGCTCTGTGAAATCTGTTGGGACTTCAGTGTCTTTGAGTTTTCTAGCTCTTTCTCAAATTTGGCTGAAAGGGGCCACTTCTGGTTCTACTATCCAAAGGAGGCAGCAGACACAGGAACACTTAATTACACATACTCTGCAGAGGGAATTTGGCTAGAACCTCTACATGGAAAAATGACAAAGTTCTCTAAAGCCAGCTTTATTGGAATAGGAAAACAATATAGAAAAATAAAGGGCTCCTGTAAACACAAGATCAAATAAGACACCATCTCACTGGAAACTGAAACCTTGGGCTAACAAACCTACACATACTTAACAAGACAACAACCAACAGGTGAACACTTACATGTAAACAGTGCTTCTGGTAATTCCAGAATAACCATCAAGGACTAGCATTGCAGCATGACTTCTGTTATAAATAACCTGTCCAGAGTTTTTTAGAGAAAATATAACTGTTCTCTGTCTCTCAAAATATGCTTCAAGCTATAAAACCAGCACAAATCTTCTCCTAATATCAAAACCACAGTGTTAGATCCACTAAAAACCTTAAGAATGCTATTAAAATAACTCTATTAAAAACTTAGCTATATTAAAAATATTTCCTTTAAAGGCTGCTCTAGCCACAAGTTAAATCTTTAAACACAGTGCTTAAAATATCCAAATGTAGAGGTTTTCAGACATAACTAGTGGTCTATTAGAGGCTGGCTGAGTTAAGAACCCTATTGTTCCTGGTGCCACCCAGTCATTCAGATTTGTGGTACTTCTGCGCAACCCCGTAGGGAACGTGCGCAGCAACGGTGCCTAATTTCTGTGCTCCTTCAATGTGAAACATCTGGTCATCAAAGAAAATGTGAGGGCGGATTTTCACCAGGATTGGTCCTTTAGGAGCTCCTGCTAGGAAAAGTGCCTCATCAATCTCCAGACCCCAGCTACGAAGAGTCTTCAGCACTCTGGCTCCAGAGCTCGCCGCGCTTCTGGCTGTAACCAGGAAGGTCCTTATAGGACAATCTAACCGTTTGTTTTTTGCATAGAACTTCTTCTGGAGTTTCCCTAGATCTTCCAGAAAACCTTTCAAAGGACCCTGAGTATGAAACACAAGAAGAATACTTAGCATGTGTCCACAGCTTCCAGAATCATTATTTTGCTTTATTCCAGACTGTCAGTTCTGTACAGGATTGCTTCCCTAGTGCTGTGCTACTCAGCAAGTTCTCTGTGTCATGTGTCCAAATGTGTCCTCACTAGGAACTCACAAACTGGAAGAAAGTTAAAACCATAATCCTAC